CTTATGGTTTCATGCCTTGCATTTAAGTCTTTTATCCACCTTGAATTAATTTTTGTGAGTGGTGAGAGATATGGATCCTGTTTCATTCTTCTGTATGTGGCTATCCAATTCTCCCAGCACCATTTATTGAATAGGGCTTCTTTTCCCTAGTGTCTATTGTTGTCTGTTTTGTCAAAGATATGTTGGCTATTTGTGGATGGTTTTATATCTGGGTTCTCTATTCTGGTCCATTGGTCTGTCTGTATTTTTGGGCCAATACCATGCTGTTTTGGTTACTATAGCCTTGTAGTATAGTTTGAAGTCTGGTAATGTGATGCTTCTAGATTTTTTTCTTTTTGCTTAAGATTGCTTTGACCATTCAGGCTCTCTTCTAGTTCCAAATGAAGTGTAGAATTATATTTTCTAGATCTGTGAAATATGCTGTTGGTATTTTGATGGGGATAGCATTGAATCTGTAAATTACTTTGGGTAGTATGGACATTTTAACAATGTTGATTCTACCAATCCATGAGCATGACATGTTTTTCCATTTGTTTGTGTCATTGGCAATTTCCTTCCTCAGTGTTTCATAGTTCTCTTTGTAGAGATCTTTCACCTCCTTGGTTAAGTATATTTTCAGTTCTGTCACTGGGGTATTGAAGTCCCCAGCAATTACAATTACAATGCTCCTGTTTATCTCTTTGCTTATATCTAGTAGGGTTTTCTTTATGAATCTGGGCACTCCTGTGTTGGGTGCATAAATATTTAGGATTGTTAAGTCTTCTTGTTGAAGCACTCCCTTTATTATTATATAATGACCATCTTTGTCTTTTTTTTTTAATAAAATCAAATTCTATTTTTGTTGGAATCATATATTACTTTAGAGGTAATTTTCACTCCAAAAATATTTAAGTACAAAACCAAAACACTGGTTTTTAATGGTGGTTTATAGCAGAGCAAGTTATTTTATACAAATTAATATCTTTTAAAAGTATGTAATTTCTCCTTTTAAAGTGAGTTCTCTCATGCAAGCTGTTGAAGTTACAGCAGCAGGGCAATCTTGTGTAAGAGGTGGCTCTGCTTTGTTCTCGGGTTGGTCCAAAGCTAGGTAGAGTTCCATTGCATGAAAAGCTTTAAAATTCTACCTTAAGGAAATTCAATGTCAATACCAATTTCCAAGTACTTTTAAGAAAACTGTTAAATTTTCATATAAATACTGGAAACCTTAAAACTAGACAGCCATTTCAAACAACACTAATTTCAGATGATACCTTTTATTTAGAAGTTCTGTATCTCTGTTTTGATCAAAAGTCACATAGCCTTAAATCAGCTTATTAAGAAAAAAGTTCTACCTAAAATATAGTTGTATTTTTTAAATAACAAATAAATATATTGCCAGCTTGGAGAGACCTGGGGGACCAAACGTTGTCTACCAACTTGTATTATCATTTTTCTACAAATGCTGCTGCTGCCATTGGAGTCCTTATGCTTCCTCTTGCTGAAGCTGTCAGTTCTTCAATCTTGGCATTTAATTTATGTATTACCCATTCCATCGCTTCTCGGCCTTTATTAGCATTTGAAGATATGGTACTTGCCATCAGTCCTTCAAGGTAACTGCTAAGGCTGACTCCTTTCACAGTGACAATGGCTTCTTGAGTCAAAATAGTTTTTTCTGGGTCCTGAGGATGTGGTTTGTAGATAAGTCTCTCATCTACTGAAATCATATTTGTAAAAGAAATATTAGTAGATTTAAGTTCCATTATTTTCTCTACAGGATCAACTACAGAATGTTCTCACACATATGTTTTGGTTCTTGCTGCATCAATAAGAGACTTCACAATGGAAGGCAGTCCGCACTCTGTGCTGAGAAGTCTATGGCTGTACAACTTTCTGGAGGGATCTATATGTCTGTCCAACACATCAACTCCAACCACACTCGGGTTCATAGGGTTTGGGTATTTCTGCATTGCAGCTGTGGTAACAGTTTCCCAAGGGTGGTCAAAGACATGCTTCGAAGTCCAGATCTTCATGGTGCGAGCGGCCCACGCGATATCCAGGCGGCGCTAAGGGACAATGAGGCAAAGAGGCTACACTTGCCCCCACCCCACTCCCAGCACCCCGGCGTCCCCTGTCTTTCTTTATTATTGTTGGTTTAAAGTCAATTTTATGTGATAGGAGTATGGCTACATCTGCTTACTTTTGGTTTCCATTTACATGGAATATTTTTTCCAACCCTTCACCTTGAGTCTGTATGGGTCCTTGTGGATTGAAGTCTGGTAATGTGATGGAGACAGCAGATAGCTGTGTTGTATTTTTTCATCCATTCAGCCAGCCTATGTCTCTTGAGTGGGGTATTCAACCCGTTCATATTGATTGATAGAATTGATATGTGGGATGCTGTTCCATTTATCTTGTTGGGCAGTACCTTATTGCTTTGTTTTACTTCTTGTGCTGTTGTTCTATATGAGCCCTCCAAGCTTTAGCTTTTGGGAGGTTTTACTCTCGTGGGTGTCTACTGTGCTGATCCATGTACAATGCAGTTTTGAGTATTTCCTGCAGGCAGGTCTGGTGTTGACAAATTCCCTCAGTGCTTGCTTGTCTGTAAAAGTATTTATCAATATTTCTCCTTCGTATATGAAACTTAGTTTTACAAGACATAAAATTCTAGGCTGGCAGTTGTTCTGTTTAAGAAGACTGAAGATGGGGCCCCAGTTCCTTCTGGCTTGTAAGGTCTCAGTTGAGAATTCTGCAGTTTGCTTGATGAGTTTTCCTTTGTAAGTTATTTGATGTTTTCACCTCACAGCTTGCAGGAGTTCCTCCTTCATGTTGACTTCGGCCACTCTGATGACTATGTGTCTTGGTGATTGCCTTTTTGTAATGAATCTCCCAGGTGTTCATTGAGCTTCTTGTACCTGGATGTCTAAATCTTTAGTAAGACCAGGGAAGTTTTCCTCAATTATTCCCTCAAATAGGTTTTCTAGCCCTTGTGCATTTTCTTCTCCCCTATCAGGGATGCTTATGATTCTTACATTTGGCCATACTTTACATAATCCCATATTTCTTGTAGGCTTTGTTCATTCCTCTTAATTCTCTGTTCTTCATTTTTGACTGACTGATTTAATTCAAAAGAGTTGTCTTCAAGCTCTGAGATGTTTTCTTTGGCCTGGTCTAGTCTCTTCTTAAAACTTTCTACTGTGTCTTGTCTTTCCTTAAATGAATTTTTCATTTTCAGAAGTTCTATTTGTTTTTTTTAATATGTCAATCTCTTTAGTGAATTTTTCATTTATTTCCTGAATTGTTTTTCTGGTTTCTTTGAGTTGGTTTTCCATTTTCCCTTGGATTTCATTGAGCTTTCCTACAATCCATATTTGGAATTCTTTACCTGTCATTTCAATATTTTCATTTTGGTTGGTATTCATTGCTAGAGAACTGGTGTTCCCTTTTGGGGGTGTCCTTTTACTGTGATTTTTCCTACTTCTGGAGTTCTTTTGTTGATTCCTTCTCATCTGGGACAGCTGTCACTTCTTATTTTTGGATTTTATTTTGTTTAGATGGGGCTTTCCCCCCACCCCTTAAAAAGCAGTGTCTGTGGCATATGTTGGGTAAGAACTTTTGGCTTTGCTTGTGGGTACTTTGATGGTGATCTAGGTTCTGGATGGATGCCTTGGTTATAGATATCGTTAGTGTGATGGTTTTCTCAGTTGCTAGCTGTTTGCAGGATGTAGCAGTGGTGAGCTATATAAGTGGGAAGATTCTCTTTCTTTACTGAGGGTAGATGGAGGTCTTTGAAATCCTTTTTTTTTTCCCAGCCCTGTGGTCTTCTTAACATAACCTGGTTAATTCTGTTCTACACTAATCTCGTTCTGGTAATACCTTGCTAAACATATAAAATGATCACCAACATCCACTATTAATGTTGCTTTCTGAGCTCTTCCCTCAGAGCTACAAGTTATATAGCTACTAATATGCCTTCTGAGGTTTTGTAAGCAACAGTTTAGCCACTGCCTAATATGAATCTTCAATTGTCCACTTGGCTACATCTGTTTTCTAAATTCCTACCCAACTGCTGTGGTAAGTTAATGACACGTTTTAGGGTTTTTTTGGTCATGGCTACCACTTTTATTATTAACCAGGGTTATCAAGTGTAGTTATTGTAACAAACAATGCTCAAATCTCGGTGTCATAATCCAATAAAAAATTTATTTTTTTTACTCCAATAAGTCCAATGAGGATCAGTATAGTGATGTGCTCCATGCAATTATTAAGAGACCTAGAGTCCTGCCACCTAATGTTGCTGCTATCCCCTAGCTTCTCCGAGTTCTCTGTATCTGGCTGACCAACATGTGAAAAACAAATAGAAACTATAAATTGCTGGAAGTTTTAAAGGTCAGGCTTACATTGGATGATCACTGCTTCTGTCTAGATTCCATTGGCCAAAAACAATCACACAGCCCAATATAGAGGTAAGGAAGCTAGGAAACGTGGGTTTTCTGGGTGCAAAGAGGAAAATAAGATGGTGAATGTGTATTATTGTCTCTGTCACAGTTAGGACACTTTCAGTTGCAGGTAGCAGAAAACTCAGCTCAATTTGGCTTTTTAGGGGAGAAAAAACTTTTCCTCTACCCTTTTTAGGTTCAATAATCTTTGGCCTGTCAATTAAATGGACAAAGGACAGATTAGCAAGAGAAAAGACAGATTTTAATCACATATGTACATAAGGGAGTATACAAAGAAATGTGACACAAGGGGTGGCTAGAATTTGGGGCTTATATACTGATATACTTCCCTGAAGGTGAAGGGCAGAAGAGCACTTATGTGAAAACAAATAACTTTTAGGAAAAACGAATGGGCCCTTTGGAGAACAGATGGAAGATATAATAGTTTTGTGACAATGTCTGTTTAGGTGTGGTGACAATTCTCATAGTCTCCTATGATAACAGTCAATCTTCCTTGTTACTCTCTGGAGGGGATTTATGACAACTAGGTTCTTTTGAAAAGCTCTGCTTTTAGGCAGATAAGAGATTTCAGGAACTCAAATATATTCAGCTGAAAGTAATTTTTATGCCAGAATAGCTTGTTCTGGAAGCCTTCAGTTTAAAAAACAAAGGGAATTTATTGGCTTATACAACAGAGAAATCTAGAGGCACCATAGGGTTCGGGTACTGTTTGATTTGGTGGTTTATGATTCTCTTAGGCTTTCTTTCCTTATGATTCATTCTCTCAGCCCTCCCTCCTCTATGCTTTATTTTCATTCAGCTCTGCTTAGTAGCAAAGAAAAAAAAGATTGTAGCTCTTCCACTATGTACATACTAATACTATACCATGAGGGGTGGGGAAAGAACTTCTCTATTTCCTGCAATAAAACAAAAATCCTGGGCTTTACTCTGATTGGCCTCTGAAACAAAAACAAGGGTGAAGGTAATTCTGATAATTTTGGGTCAGTGAGACCATTCTTGGACCTGTTGGGGGGGATTAATTCTGCCAAAATTACATGGATGAACACAAGGGAGTTATGGAACGGAAGCAGGGAAATCACACACATCCATTACAATAAGTCAGGAAAGAGAATGTAGCAAGATCTCACTTGAAGAGAATAAGTACTGTGAGGATACCTAGAGCAAGTGTATAGCATGTAAAATGAGCTGAAAATATAAGTCAGAGGAAAAGAAGTTCTTAAAAATGATGGGAAAGTGTGTGGATAGCAAGTCAAGACAACCAAGAGAATGGTGTTCTAGAAGCCAAGGTAGGAGTTTTAAGAATGGCTTTATCAAAATCATCTAAATAACTTCTTGTCTGCTGATTCCACTCTTACCAGGCATCTTTTGTAATTTGGCTTCTCATGTAAATGTTCCTTTTGAAGGAAAATATGTTGACCAGTTTTCTGGTCTTCATGGCAGTTATGTTTTTCATGAAAAAAAAACCTGGAATTGATTTATACATCAGTCTCTAGTAAGTTTGGTTGGCATGAATCATCCCCCTCGATTTAAATTAGCTCTTGAGGCTGGCAACATTAAGTTTTTGTCTCTGCAAAGTGAGGCTCAGACTCTAGAATATAGGATGAAATCTTGAATTTCATACTATTATTAATCAAAAGTTATAGGACACCACTGTTTTGGACTAAACTCCTGTACTAGCGAAAGGGGTGGCCTTGCAAAAATAACAGGAATATATCTAATCCCACAATTTCCCCAGTAACAGTTAAAGATCAACCCTATGAGCTCTCTCACTAACAGGCGCCCTGCAGGAGTTTTGTTTTGCACAATCTCTGGAAAGAGCTGAATGAATGGAAAAGAGATATAAATCTCTCTCTTTCAAAATTGTTTTTTGAGAATCTGCTTCTACAGAGTTCCTAAGTAAACAGCAGAATGAGCTACAGCCTCAACCATATAAATCCCAAGAACAGAGTCACATCTCCTGCAAATAATCCCTTCTCCAAGGAAAGGCAGGAAACCAACTCTTGGACTTTGACCTTGCAGTTTCTGTTAGCTACCTGATGCTGATTTCATTATCAACTGATAGCCATTGCTTTTTTTTTTTCCTCTCTTCATCCCCCTTAAAATCAGCAAGCCACTTGGCCTCACTGCTGGCATCCCCTTCTCTTTCTTTGGGATGCCGCGCCATCTCTCTCTTTCTCTTTCTCCTCTGAGAAGGATAAAATAAACTTTTTTTCCTTTATATATTAATCTCTGCACGAGAAATCTTTCTCCACCTGTGCTGTGAGCACCTACTAACCTTTCCACGCTAACACTAGGCCCCAACAGACCAGACTAATAATCAAGATGGAGTCATCCATGCTTACCAAACTAAAACTGAGTTGTTAAGTGGCCTTCAAAAATATCAGGAGATAACAGCCTAATTTATGAAACCAGGTAGTTTCAATGTTCAATCGACATGATAATGAAGTTCTCTGTTTTAATTCATACAACAAAGAGTAATCTGAAGTTAACCAGTTATCTTTCTATTGTTCTGTCTCACCGTCCCCAATTTATAAGGAAAGTAACTGTGAAATGACCAAACTGCTTTTTTTTCCTTTGTTTCTGCTTTCCTCAGCCCTTTTTCTGTCTATAAAGCCAAACTCCTCTGCTTAACTCTTTGGAACACTTACTCTATTTTACGGAATGAAGTGTTGCCCCAATTCTAAAATTGCAATAAAGCCAACTGAAATCTTTAAATTTTTTGTAATTTTGTCTTTTGACACTATAATAAAAATGAACTAAAATATAATCTTAAGCCCCCCAGCTGTCTGAATGGACCCCCGCTTGGCCAAAGGGACCCCAGAAATACCCTAAAGCTGAGTTGCTGGCCAAGAAAAGGGAGGTCAGACATGCCTTATCATGTCCCTTGCTCTTCTTGGAGATATCCTTTGTACTCATTAACAGGCCTAAGGCTACGCAAGACAAAGCTGAAACCACACCAGTAGGTCTTCAATTTACTCAACCCTTCTCATGAGTCTATGTCTGGTGACTTGTCTCTGATTAACAGACTTCCTTAACTAAAAACATTCCAAGCCTTTAGACAAAGCTTCAGTTCTTTAACCAATTATAAATCAAATAATCTTCAAGCCCACCTATAACCTGTAATCCCCCTCTTTGAGATATCTTGTCCAGCCAAACCAAGGTACACCTTTCATGTGCTGACTTATGAATTTATGTGTAGTTACTGTCTCCCTGAAACATATAAAAACAAACTGTAACCCAACCACAGTGAGACCACTTGCTCAAGGGCTTCTGGAGTGTGGCTCTGGGCCATGGTCACTCATACTTGGCTGAGAATAAACCTCTTTTAATTATTTTTCAGAGTTTGGGTTCTCTTCCATTGACACAAGCTTTGCTAACCTTTAGGAAATGTATTTGAAAACCAATGTCTTAAGAATGCTCCAAGATTTTGTAATTGTAAAACTTTTGTTATTTTGATTATTCTGACTTTTACTATAAAGCCTATTTTCAGGGCCAAAGGAGAAGAGGTCATGGTTACCTGTAGTTTCATAGCGGTGATCCAAATTGCCTTAGGGAAGATTAATTTGGGAGTGGTAACCAATGTGCTACAGTAATGCTAAACACCTGGAGAAAGCTGGGAGCAGTCTGGATAAGAAGAAATTTAATACAAGTGAAAAGACGAATTAGTGAAATTAAGTGATTGAACACGGGGTGAGAGAGAGAGAGAGAGAGAGAGAGAGAGAGAGAGAAGGACTTGGCTAGACAAGATTTCAGGTCTACTGCCCATTGATCTTGTGAGGACAATTGCTTGAGGAAACTTTCCTTACAGATCGGATTACAATGTTCAACAAGTTCATGCAAGCAGTCAGTATCCTAGCAAGCGTTTTTTTCTTTTTTTCCAACACTGTTTTGAAGACAGCAAGTGTTTTTCTTCTAAGTATATTGGTCGGAACTTTTTTTTATATTCATACAGCAGAGTTAGGAATGTGAAAGGTGATCATACAAATTGGGTAATTCTTGTCATACCCAACTAAAACAGAGTAGAGAAGCCAGGGGAGGGAGCACTCAGGGTACATAACATTGCTCCAAGAATGTAATTCTCGGTAAGTCTAGCTGAAGCTCCCTGCTGTAACCTGAAGCCAGTTTCATCTGATGGCTTCTGAAACAACCAACTGCAACTCTAAGATAGTTTTACCTTCCTCCATAGCTTGCCAGCTCCCCAAAACTTTTCTAGTGCCAAAGAACTGTCTGGAAAAACAGGTAACATTTCTCCTTCTTATAAAACCTCCAACCTTCTCTTTGTTCTTTGGACATAGGGAAGACCACCAGGTCTGCATGTATGCTACGAACTGCAATTCTTATATCCCAAATAATATGTTAAATTTAGAAATTCGTCTCTACAAGACCACCAGGTCTGCATGTATGCTACGAATTGCAATTCTTATATCCCAAATAATATGTTAAATTTAGAAATTCGTCTCTACGTATTTTATTTAACTTCGACATGAGATTGCAAGCGAAACCACGTTTAAAACAAATTTGGTCAAATTAGCCAATTAGTAGAAGAACCTGACTTTATTCCTTTTTCTCATCCGCTGTCTTCGCCCAACAGGCACAGTATTTCTTTTTAATGGTGGCCGTCTTCTGTGACCTTTTTACTTTCCAAGCCAACGGAGAGAGGTGGCCGTTACACACAGGAAGGGCCCAGAACTCACGGCTCTGCGCCTGCAGATTCGGTGCTGGCCGGGTTCCGGGACTGCCGCCGGCCTGCACCCACGTCAGGGCCTGACCCGGGCCCTCGCCCGGACCCGGCGCGTGGCTGGGCGCGGCGGGCTTCGAGAGCCAGAGACGCTGCGCACATGCCGGCGGCCGCCCCCGCGCCCGCGAGAAGACAGGGAACCCGGACGCGGGGAGGCTGACCCGGAGCCTACCCATGAGGCAGCGCGCTGGCTGCATGAGAGCCCCCCCTTTCCACGGCTCAGCTGCTGGCTCCGCAATGGGAGCCGCCACTGTCGCCGCAGTGTAGTTTTTCGTGCTCCTCCTTTTCCTCCTCCTCTTTCTCCTCCTCCTCAGAGCTCCAGTCAGGCCGATCCGCTCCGCTCACGGTAAGCGCCCCCCGCCCCCGCCCGCCCCGAGCTGCAGCAGGCAGAGGCCCTCCCGCGCGGCCTGCGCCGCCTCACTCCGGGGGCGCTGGGCTCGGGGTCTCGAGGCCGGCGCGGGTCGTCAGGAGCGCCCAGGGCGCGGGGGAGGAGACCGGCTGCGCGGCGGCGGCCAGACCGCCATCTTGCGTCGGCCCCTGGCGGGGGAGGGATCCCGACGCGACACGGCACCCGGCTGGGCTGCTGCAGGCCAGGGCCGCGCAGGCCGCCGCCGCCTCCTGCTCCTCCGCCACCTCGCCTCCCAGGCCTGTGGGCCTGTTTGTCCTCAGCCTGGTTTTCGCTTTTCTCTGTGGAGGCTGCTCCCTTTGGTCTTTCAATACATTTTGTGCCGATGTTTGGCCGAGACCCCTACTCCTCACACCACAGCCCACCCCCAAGTGTCTTCAGTCGTAGGAAAAGAGACCATAAGGCGGTTCGGAACTTTGAGACACAGGGCCCCCAGTTTGCTCAGGTGACCCGTCATTCCACGATTGCACCCTCATTTTTGTCAAAGGGACTTGCCCGCTCTGTCATAGAAGTCCTGTTATTGTCTGGAGAAGGTGAAGGGCCCGAGAAGCGTGGAGTTGGATACACAATTTTCTAATTGAGCTTTGCAGCTTTCACTTAATGAGACGGAAAGAATGATCTCACTCTGAGGTTTTAGCCTGCTCTAGAGATGGAAGGAGTTCCACCCAACTTATCTGAAGTTTTAACGCTTTTAAGGAGAAATGTGCTGGAGAGGAAAAACGTCAAAGCGAACCCGCTTCTGCGAGCACGGGAGATCTTTGGCCAAGGGATTCTCTTTGTTTGCGAAGATTTGTTTAAATAAAAATTCTGTCAGCTTAAAAAATTGGATTTATTGGTTTGAGGGTTGAACAGAATTTGACGTTTTTTAGTGCCATTAAACATAAAATTGAAAGCTAGAAGGAGAGTTTTAAAATACAGAAGCCTCCAGTTAGCATTTGCACGGTGTCCTGCTTTGGGGAATCACTGTGCCAACCCAAGCTGTCTAGACGCAGAAACCGTGCCTGTGAAGGCATTGGTTAGATTATAAAATTCAGTTAGGGCTGTGTTTTAATATCACTGCAAGTACCATTGTACTTGTCTCTGGTATTTGTATCTGTCTTTGATGTCAGATACACCTGATTGTTTCTTCTTAGTCCCCTTTGTAGTGGTCTCTATTGATGGAACTGTTTTGAAGGTGAGGAGACGCCTCAGGAAGAGGACTTTAATGAGGTCACCTGGCTAGGAAAAGCCGGGGCCATTTATAGAACCTTAGGTCTTCTGACTCCTCATCCAGTACTCAGCTCACTCCAGTATGTCCCATTTTTGTGGCAATGAGGTGGGTGAGAATAGGCAAAGAGGCTCACCTAAAAAATTTAAGAAATACTAATCAGTTGCCTTTTCTTTTACATTTTTATTTTTGAGTTAATTTCTTAACGTTGCAACTTTTTATTCAAGTAATCATGTTTTTTTTTCAAACATTGAAAATTTGAAGAATAGCCCATTTAAGCACTCATACCTACCACCTAGTTCTAACAGTTGTCATTACCATTTTGCCACATTTGCTTTGTCACACACTATTTGCTGTACATTTCTAAGTCCCTTGCAGATATAACAATTCACCCCTAAATGCTGTGTGTGTGTTAGTGTGTATCTCATAAGATTAAGGCATTTTTCTTTATATTGATAATACAATACCATAATCATGCTTAATAAAGTTAAGAATATTTCCTAAAATCTAATGTATGATGTAGTATATATTCAGATTTCCCCCATTATCCCCAAAATATCCTTTTTAATTTTTTTGGGGGGAACCAGGATCCAATCATTTATTACATTTATTTGTCTTAGTCTCTTTTAAATTACAGTAGTTCCCTCATTTTTTTTTTCCTAATGACATTGACTGTTTGAAGAGACCAGGTTAGTAGTCTTGTAGAATAACTCATATTCTGTATTTTACTGATAGCTCGTCCTCATGGTGTTTAAATGGTTCCCTCTAGTCCCTGTATTTTCTGTAAACTTGAAGTTAGGTCTAAAAGCTTGAGTAGATTCAGGTTTAATATTTTTGACAAGAATACTTCATAAACGTGCTGTGTGCTTCATTTCATTCAGCATCAGAAGACACGTAAAGTAGGGTTGTCCTGTTAGTAATCCAAAATCTGATCTATCTTTACATTTTAAGTGTTTCCTTTTGCAATTAGCAAGTAATTTGTGGGGTGATATTTTGGCATTAGTACTTGGTATGAATTTAGCTGCAAGTAATCTGATAAACAGATAGTTGGGAGCAGTGCTCTAGGAATGGGTGTTTGGGAGTTAGGAAGAAGCGGGCGGGGGGGGGGCAATTTTGGAGGATAAGACTAAACTGTCTAGTTTAAGGAAGTTGGAATTGTTGCCACCTGAAGGCATCAGAGCCTAGGGAAGCTAGGGAAGAGGAGGCACAAAGTAGACATCAGAAAGACTGCCTTCTTTCAAAGTTTGCTTAGTACTGTTGTAGCAGTAGTGAGCTGTGGTAAGTAGAAAAGTTCTGAGGTAGTTTGATGTTGGAGGATTGCAAATCTCAGTGTCCCCCCACTTCAACTGGAGCATCTTTCCAGTTAGGCTACTAGTCCTGTCCTTTTTCAGTCTAGTGTTTTTGCTACTCAGGATTGGCTTTTTTAGTAGGAGAGAGAAGGGCAGAAGGAAAGAATAAATAATTTTGTACCTCCTCTCTCATGCTTGTTTTCTTTATTCAAGAGACAATTTAGAGTCATACCAAGAATTTTTTTTCTATACAGATTGGGCATGGGATGTACCTAATAGGAATAGCAATATTTGTAAATGAAAAGTAAACTATAGTCTTAGGTGATAGGAAATTGGAAATTTATATTGAAGACCTATTTTGTTATTTCAAAAGCAACTTTTGGGCCGGGCGCGGTGGCTGACGCCTGTAATCCTAGCACTCTGGGAGGCCGAGGCAGGCGAATTGTTTGAGCTTAGGAGTTCGAAACCAGCCTGAGCAAGAGCGAGACCCCGTCTCTACTAAAAATAGAAAGAAATTAATCGGACAACTAAAAATATATAGAAAAAATTAGCCGGGCATGGTGGCGCATGCCTGTAGTCCCAGCTACTCAGGAGGCTGAGGCAGAAGGATCGCTTGAGCCCAGGAGTTTGAGGTTGCTGTGAGCTAGGCTGACGCCACGGCACTCACTCTAGCCCGGGCAAAAGAGTGAGACTCTGTCTCAAAAAAAAAAAAAAAACAAAACAACTTTTGAAAGATAAATACTTACAACATAGTCACTAACTAAACATGTAAGCCTGAATAGTTTTTTTTCCTCTTCCTGATTCAGAGAGGGACTCAAAAATATTTGGTTTTTCAGTTGAATTGTTTTAAATGATTTAAATAATGACTTGATTTACTCAGTAACTGGTATCAAAAACTGTATGTTTAGAATTTTGGTTCATTTCCACAAAGCCCTTCTCTTTTAAGGATTCTTTTAACCCTCAGTGTGCCAGAAAAAAATAGTTATTACTGTTTACCATCTAGATCGAAAGGGACTGTTTTTATTTTATTTTTTTACATTTTAAGTTACTTTATATAATTTATAGAGGTAAGAATAAAGGCATAATGTAAAACAAATTATTGGAGCTTTTAATAAGAATTTAACCATAGCAAACCCTTTTGTATATACTTAGAAAAATGAAAAACAGAAACTCTATTTCATGCATTTTATTACATAACACCTGTACAATGAATGTAAGTCAAATTTGAATGCTTTTGGAAAATATTCTGATTATAATTGTAGCACGCTTTTTTTTTTTGTTTTGAGTTTTTTATCTATACAAAGAGTATCTTCCTCTCATCTTCCTACTTTGAGATTTGTGCAAAAGAACATTGTGGTTAGAGGGTAAGACAAATTTTCTTCCTAGGTATTGCAAGTTCTTTTCCTAGTTGCATGAGGAATTTCTTCTTGATAAGTTACAGTTTTGTAACTGAAGCTTTTCCCATACAATGAAAACATTCTCCACACTAATATCAGTCATAAACCATCTTCAACTCATGCAAGTATAGTTTCTGATATTCTTATTGAATGTATCTATCTTTCCTGTATTCTTTTTATAATGCAGATCACTTCAGGTTAATTTATGCAGGGGTTTTTGAATTCATTGGTGGTTGAGAATGCATTGAGTTGAGAAGAGTAATTAGTTTCTTGGGACAATAATAACCAAGGAGTATATTTAAAATCCGGATTTTGTGCTGTTGACTTCTTTTGCTTTTCCATTTGTGAAATTTCACAGTTCAACCCTATTCTTCCAAAGAGAGCCAACTAAGGAAAGTTTCTTGCTGGATAATACTCAGCCAAGACTAAATTTGTAAAAAATTATCACAAGTTATATTTCTGACAGAATTTTTAAATTTGTCAATTCTTGTAATGCTTGTTACTCTTGGTTCTGCTCTCACCCCTTTTTTGAATCTCTGTGTAGATCTGCAAATTCCACGCCTATGATGTTTCACTGTCACATGCTACCCAGATTTTTATTCCATATTTTCCAGATTTTGAAGGTCTTTATACCTGAAGTGGGTAATGTAATCTGAATGCAATTAACTACAGATGCTCCTTGAATTACGATAGGGTTACATCCCATCATAAGTTGAAAATATCATAAGTTAAAAATGCATCTAACACATTCGATAAACCCATTGCAAAGTCAATCATAAGTAAAAAATGCATTTAATACACTTAACCTACTGAACATCATAGCTTGGCCTAGCTTACCTCAAACGTGCTCAGAACACTTATATTAGCTTACAGGTGGGCAAAATCATCTAATACAGAGCTTATTTATAATAGGAAAGTGTTGAATATCTCATGTAATTTTTGGAATATTGTACTGAAAGTGAAAAACCGGAATGGTTGTATGGGTCAAAAAATCCTAATTTGAACCATCATAAGTCAGGGACTGTCTGTACTTACCAACTGTCATAC